ATTTATTTATTTATTTAACTTATATGCCGCCCACACTACCCAAAGGTCTCTGGGCGGCTTACAACATTTAAAATATAAATTCAGAAGGCAGGCTCCCTGTCAAATCTCAGTGTAAAAACTGCATGTTCCAGCCTTAAGCAGTGTTTCAAAATAATTTTCTTAAATAACAGCTCTTGGTACTGTTTCCTGATTGTCTGTCATTAACTGGAGTGAAGAATAAAAGTGTAGAAACAGGCAACCGTTTTGCTGATCTGAGAACAACGTTGTGGTTGAAAGGCGCATGCACTGCAGGGGTTGTTTAGTGGAAATCAACGCTTTTTCCTTCGGGTCATTTCATCTTTTCCTCTTCCTGGGGCTTCTGAAACCAAAGAACTCATTGCCTGGCCGCTGACTGAGCTGCCTCCTCTCCTAAGTTTGTGGTGGATGTACATGTATTCTTTAAACTGACAATGTTACACACGCACACGCGCATGTTTTGAATGCCATTATATAAGCTGCTTTATGGGCCCCTGAAGAGAATTCAGAGGGGGTTCCTGTGTCGCCCCCACCCCTACGCAAGCTCTCCGGGCCTGCTGGCTTGCTTGCTTGCTTGCATCCCTCAGGGCTCTGAGGGACTCCCTCTGCAAGCAGCAACGCAGCCTCCGACTTGGAGGGGGCTTCTGGGGGTGGTCGGTTTGGTAGCAGCGCACATCCCTTCACGTATCACTCACTCATGGTGACTCACCACTGCAGTCCCCAGCGAGGAGAGTGGGAGAGAAGTGTTATCGCCTGGCACTGCCATCTGCCTGGGCCAGCACGACCTGGCTCTGGTACAGAGAGGGTGGGACTGACCAAGCCCCACTTCCTCTCCCTCCCTCCCCCCCTCTCTCTGTGTGTGTAGGAGAGAGGAGAGTACAGGTGAGTGCAGAAAGTGAGTGGATCTTTCTGTGAGCTGTCCTCCGCCTGCAACCTTGCTACCTTGTGCCAACAGGAGATCCTCCTGGACCAGTCCTGGACTCCTGGCCAGCTTGCCTTTCTGCCCTCAGAATTGCTGGAGGACTCAGGTACCCTGCTCACGTGGCAGAGGAGTAAAGGACTGCGGCTCAGCTTCATTCAGAAAGAAGTCTAGGGAGTATTTCTGTTCCCAGCACCCTGGAGAGCGCACACTCTCCTGCAGCAGAGCCTGGCAGGAGCAGGAGAAAAATAGAGCAGGAGAAAACACCAAGCTACGTGTCCCTGCCACCCCCAACCCGGACTTTTACGAGAAGTGCACGAAATGAAGCTGGCTGGAGAAAACAGCCTGCCCCAAGGGGGCCACACAAGGAAGGGTCCCTGCAGCTGTGCGGGGATTTTGGACCTGAGCTCCCTGCACCCATTTTGGGGCTGAAAGGTCTCCCTTGGTCTAGGCTGAGGCACGATGCCCTGGATCAGCCACAACACAGGGTTGAATAATCCCTTGATTAGATCACAAGGAAATTACAAGGCAGACGTTGAGGTTTCTAGGGCTGTTCTTTGGGCTTGGAGGGTAAACAATGGGGAGCGTTTGAGGAAGAAGCAATAAAAGCTCAGCACATCTGGCCAGGTGGAAGAGCCTCTGTCCTTGCAGGCCGGCTGGCTTGCTGACCCTGGGAAAGACGGAGGTGTCCAGGCATCCGCTTCTAGTCTCTCCACCTCTGTGGGCTCTTCTGAAACACACGCGTGCGCACACATACAAACACACCCCACACGCACACCCAGGTTGGTTTTGGCCTGCTTGGGCTTCTGAAGAGCATCTGCATCTTGCAAGGCCTCAGGATTCCTCGCAGAAGCCCTCTCGGGGTAGCCTCCAGATGAGACGCTCACTTTGTCTGAAGTCAATGAGATGAGCTTAGAGGTGGGGGGGGGGCTTTTCCACTCATGTTTTCTTACCCACTCTGTGTGACACCGTCGCTAAGTAAAGGGCTCTCCATTGGGAGTCTCTGTGCACACTTCCAGGTCATACAGAAATCCTAAAGAGAAGCCAGGGCTCCTCTCCTTCTCTCCCCCCCCCCCCCCAACACACACTACATTGTTCTTTATGATTTCAGGAGGCCTTGCAGAATGCCAGGCACTCCATGGGCGCTTCTTTGCTACCACTTGCTTTTTGCTCTCTGAATGAGAGTGGGTGATGGGCCTGGCACCCCACCTTTCACCAGCTGCCTTCAGCAGCCTGTGTGCGTGTGCATGTAGGTGTGCACATGTGGGCTAAGAAGCCCCCTCTCTCCAAAGCACCCAGGGGGCACATACATTAGGCACCTCCATTAGCACCAGCTTCCTTCACCTGTTCCCACTCTTCCTCCGCCCGCTGGCCCCCCACTGTTTTTCTGTGGGGCCCTCCTGCTGCTTCTGTGCCTCTCCTTCCCCAGGCCCACCCTCAGCTCCTCAGCGTGTGTTCCCGAACAAAACAAGAGCCACCTTCTTCTCCCTTCCAGCCCAAGCAGCTGCAAGAAGTCCGTGCAAGCATAATTCCCCCATTAATGGAATTTGTATTTCTTGATTAAAGGAACTGAGATTCTCTCTGTTTTTTTAACCTAGCAGGGAATTTCCACCCCCATCCTAGCAATAAGCAAATCTTTCTTCTCCTTGTGGATGGGAGGTGGAACCAGCAAGGTCAGGTGGAGGAGAGGAGGAGAAGTGGGGTCGCCCTTTGGAGCACCCCACCTCCCTCTTTTCTCCACGGAAGTATCCCCCCACCTGTTGTGGTGGGACAGGTGCTCAGTGACATGAGGAAGACAAAGCATGTGAAGAGTGTGTGTGTGGGGGGGAGGGTTTCCCTTCTGGGTTGGTGCCAGGGGAATGGGTGGGAAGGCTGATCAAAGACCCACCCACCCTCTGTGACAATGGAGCCCTTCGCTTAATGAGTTTGTGCTCTTCAGGTGGCACCCCTGCTCTGGAGACCTGGTTTTGCAATGGAAAATAGTGACCCAATTAGAGGGTGTCTCCATTGGAAATTCCTTAGCAAAGGAAGGAGGGATGGGGGGGGAGAACAGGAGAGAAGAGAGCTTGCCCATCCCATCAGAGCAGAAGCCTGGAGTCAAATCTCTATCTCCCACACACACACACTCCCCACCTCAATGCAGAGGTTGGGGGCAGTGGAGAAGCATAGTCGCTGTGGCCAGGCCTGAGTCCAGGAGCTGCGGGGAAATGGTGCATTGGTCTGGATCCTGCGAGCCGAGTCCATTAGCAGATGAGTAGCAAGAGGCATCCGTCATTTCACCAATGCCCGTGTGCCAAGTCTACCAGTTCCTGGACTCCGCTCTGCGGCCCAGAGCCTTGGCTCTCCGAGGGGGGCCCCCATTCCCTCTGCTGCTTCAGCATTTCATTGCCTATGGCAGGCGCAGACCCCAACCGCCCTCCCATCCCCTCGCAGGTTGTTCAGGCTGTGGCACTGGGGCTCTCCAAGTGCAACTCTGCAGCCGCTGATTGAGGTGTGGGGAGGAGCAAGGGCAAGAAAGGAGGCCCAAATGGGCAGGAGCCCCCCCCGCCGCCGCCACCCTCCCACCCAGTCCTCTTGGTTCTGGGCTCCCACCGGCACTGGGGGTGGGATGCTCCAATCGGGCCAGGTCCAAAGTGCACCCACCTTCTTCTCTCTCCTTCTGGGGAAAGGAGGCAGCCTCGAAAAGGAGGAAGCCAGAGGAGCAGCGCTGGCCGTCCGTCCGCAGCACCTTGTGATTTCCTCCCCTTTGTTAACTTGAAAAGCACCCCTGGCACACCCTGGGAGCAGCAACGGGGAGCTTTCCACCTCCTCCTCCTCCTCCTCCTCCTCTGCAGCCAGCAGGCAGTGAGGGCCTCCTTCCACTGCTGGAAGGCCTGTGGAGGAAGGTGTTTATTCCGCCCCAGGAAGGAGCAAGCCAGCCTGGGGAGAAACAAGGCCCATGAGGCACTTTCTGCTTCGTGGCAAGCCACCAAAGAACAGCAGGCATGGCCCCCTCCACACATTCCCACGTTTCTCTCTCACTCCTTGTAAAAAGCAGCTCCACGTTGGGTGTTCCTGAAAGCTCCCTTCGCCCCACTGGGTTTGCTTCCGTTCCAGGGCTGCTTCTAGGCATGGTAACTCGCGGCCTAGAAAAGTTCCTTTTTTTGGACCTCCGCTCTTGGCGCCCCTTGTGAGCAGCCAGGAGGAGTGACAGAGTTGCGAGGTTGAGGTCCCAGGCCTGCTCTTCCAACCCTCGAGTGAGTCACACAAGCCCAGTGAGAGTACTTTGGGCAAAGACAAGGCGGCGGGGCAGGATGGGTGCCCGTCAACCGTAAGGAGGGCTTCTCTCCAGCCGCTGGCCTGCCTGTTCCCCCGCGTCCAGCGCAGGCTGCCTTCCTCCCTGGGAGGGTTCGTCCTCAATACCTAGCAGTCCTTTACCCTTTCATACACGGCTTCAACATATGCAGAGTGTTTCTCCAAATTCAAGGCTTCAACGTTTCTTGCAGGCAACTCCAGCAAACAATTTCCATCCAGTTTAATGGTCAACTTCTCTTCCTCACTCAACAGAGTGAGAAAAGGGCTCTCTCTTCTAATTTCAACAAACAGGTTTCTATATGCAATGCCTATTGGGCTGTCCCCACCCACGCCACCCTCACCCTCGGGACTAGGGGGGTCAGAAGAAGTATCACTTTATATCCCTTCTCCACCCGTACCTCTCCAAGAATACATGCTGGCATATAGCCTTTAGAAAATGCTCCAAATATGGATTCCATACATCTTTAAAATCATTAGACTTCACAATTCCTCTTCTTATTTTCATTTCACATGTTAACTTATCATTAATTTGCTAAGTTCCACATTTCTGCCACCTGCCAGAGTTGAGTCTTGGGGACAGGAAGGTCTCAGATGATGACTCAGGTGGGGGGGGGCTTCCATGGTTCAGTTCCCTAAACTGGGGGCTTGTCACCCTTCTGATACAGTAGGATATTCCTCCTCCCTCTGAGGCCGTGATATATCCTGGACTACAGCGCCTATCATGTTGGTTGGTGCAATGCGGTTCATAGTCTAACAACTGACCTAGAAGTTACCAGGCCGGGGAGGGCTGCATGAAGATTGGGGGGGGGCTCAGAGATTGTGGAAAACCTCCACAAAAGGGGTGGTTTGAAAGGAACTGAAAGGGGAGGGGATGACTTTTATTCAGATTCTCCGCCTCCTCCTGCCTCTGCAGTCTAAGGTTGCTCAAGCTTTTGAAAACCGAAACAGGATTCTGTGCAACCCCAGATCTCTGCTCTCATTTCCTTCCCCTCTTTCAGGGTGTGGTGGTGGTGGTGGTGGTGGCACTTCATCGCCAAGCCCCGGGGCTATTTTTAGCTGCTCCTGCCCAACGGTGGTCACGCCCTTCCACCTCTGAGGTTGGTTGCCTGAAAAGGTTGTGAATGGCTCGGTCCCTGAAGCCTGTGATCATCCACGGGAGTTGTGATCTTGGGCAAGGTGGGGGTGCGGGGGTGGGGAGATGCCCTTGCTGCCGCCACCATGGCCTTCCATTATGGGCAAAAGCACCAGAGCCCAGCGCTTGGAGGTTAAAACTCATACAGTCACCTGTAGCTCGTTACTTATTTGAGTGAAAAGGTGGAACAAACTTAATGTTTCAAAAACAAGAAGCACTGGAGTTTGTTTTTAATGGGGTGGTGAGCAACATTTTCTCATCATTTTCAAAAGTAACTTTTAAGAGTCATTTTGGGTTTTTTGAAAAAAATCTCGCCTTCATGCTGCTCTTTCAACAATCTTCAGGGTGGGGTGGGGTTTTTTGGGTTTTTTTTTTCTGTTATAGAATGTGAGGAGTATCAGTGAGCAGCAACAAGTAAATGTGACTAAATAAGGGGAGACGTTAACTTTATAAAGTAGCTTCCCTAGCCCAGGTTGTGTGAGGGCGGTTATAAAAAACGTATCGCCCTCGCATCACCTGAAGGAGTGGCTGCCTCTTCCTGTTTGGGCCGAGCATCCTCTCAGAACTGCCACCCTCAAAGAAATTCAGGATGCAGAGGGGTGCCAGTGGGTGGGACCCTCTGGCATTCGTTTGCCCCCCCCACTCCCATCAGCCCCCCCCCAGCCAGCATCCTCCAGTGGGGAGAGATTAGGGGAGCTGCTGTCGAAAAGCATCTGGGGGAGCAGGTGCCTCCCCCTGACGTAGCCGGACTGTCCCACTGCGGGTGTTCTGCCGCATTTTGCAAATCCGGTCTGGTGACCACGAGGGACCGACTGCAAGTTGCAGAGCAGAACTGGAAATTGCACCCTTATTTCCTGAGTCATGGTGGAGGGAAGGGGCACAGGGCTGCCGGAAGGGAAGGGCCACTGATCAAGTACTTTCCTTCCATTCCGTTCACATATACTCTTTCCTTGGCAGGGCAGAAGTCTGGGCCGGTCTCCCCCTGCCCCCTCCCCCCTCCCCAAACCAGTTCTGCAAAAATTAAGGGCGGGTGAAGAGGGCAATCTCCGGTG